GTATTCCAAAACCACACTAGATATTTGTCTATGAGAAGGTTGTTCGTGCCGAAGAACAATTTAAATAAAATATTAATTTTATTTCATGTAGATTACATAAAACTCATGCAGAAGATGCAATGGTCCCAGTGTTGCCAACTCTCAGGCTATGTACCTTTATTTCACGTAGTGTCAACTCCAGAAATGATGTAATTACACAAGACCCTAAGTTTCTAGTTCTCATGGTTACAAATAAAAGTTTGGAACTTGACCCCTAACATCTCAAAACCCTAAATGCAAATGAAAAGAGTTCTAGCTATTTTTCCTTTTAAATCTCATGAATGGGGAAGGTGATAGAGGGATGTTAATTCATTAGCTGAGAAAAATCACTTCTCCTCCTCTACCGCAGGTCACCTTCTTGAGTCTTAAAGGCTATTGCATGTACATGTTGCACCTTTTAAAAAAATGTGGTAAGTTCCATTGTGGAGTGAGTTTTCCCCATGTTGTTCTGCCACAAGTCATTCCCCCTATCTCTGTCCTGTACAGGCAGAATGTCTGAGGCCATTTGAGCTCTGTAAGTCCTTAGTGCAACTTTTGAATATAAAGGTACAATTTAGCCCTTAGCCTGTATTCATTCTAATTCTTTAAAAGTGCCATTTCTATACCACTGTACAAATGATATTCTTGGGGGAGGGGGGGATTCTCTCAATGAATTATTACTTTTCACAACAAAATAGGCTTTTTTTTAGCAGCACAGCCTATTAAAGATACACAGGCTTCTTCAATTTGGCACCTGACACGGGGTCTCATCTAGGAAACAAAAAAGTTAGGAAGAAATGAAACATTGATTAATGGCATGGAACCCTCATTCTGCTCAAGAAGCACCACTCTCTTTTCACTGCATGTAGTCAGGTAAGATTTAATTAAGAAAAGGGTAATTGGACTTTTCCTAGTAGGGTGCAAAGCCAAAGCGGCTAGTAATTTGTGGCTGTGAAGAAAATTACTGGATTAGAGTAACTGGACCAAACCCCCAAAATTGCAGGTATTACAACCTCCTTTTTTTTTCTGTATCCGTGAGAAGGATAAAGGAAAACTAGTTAATATAACCAGTGTAACATCTTACAGCTTGCTCATCAGTTTGTGCTATGATTCTGTCAGCCTTCACATGCAAAACAGGACCTGACTATCTTAGTATTTGGGGGAGGAGTGTGAAGGCCAGCAAGTAAATTGCTAGGTTACAGGAAGTGTTGTTAGTGATTGGTAGATGTCACTTTTCTCCTGGAATCAAGAAATAATCCATCAGGCCTAGCTGTATTGCCCTGTTGGAGATGTCAGCCTTCAGAGAAGACAGATCCCCTGACTTATTATGGGGCTGTCAGCAGGATAGGTTAGTACTCTGGCCATGTTCCAGTTTGGGTAATTAATTTCTGTGTACCTGTATTTCTAATTTCCTTTATTTAAATTAATACACTTTCCCCCCTAAATCTTAAAATGCTCAGTTTTGCAATGCACAGTTAAATAACTACTATGTTCTATTTCAGAGTTTGTTGCAATTTTGGGGGAAGGAAATTATCCCTATATACTCATTACCTAGCTATCAGAATTGTTGTCAGATGTGGCCAGCTGATGTTTGTGAAGCACTTTGAAATCTTCAGTTGAAAGGTACTATAATATTGTACTTATTAATTAGTAAAATTACAGTGGCATTCAGGTGTTCAACTCACATTGGTGCCTAATTGTGCTATGTTCTGAACAAACATAGGAAAAGACATTCTGGAGGAATTACAGATGTTTTAATCGCATATGACTTTCTGGTGGATCGGAATTATATTTGTTATAAAACTCTAGTATATTTAATACTTGGTTTAAGGACTTGTCTTCATTAGAAAACTGGTGTAATTGTCAAAAATGTTTTGTCATTAATGAGTCACCCTCGGGCCTGGCATAGCTTGGACAATGTGTTTTGACACCTTTACAGAAAGACTGTTGCAATTACATACATTTAGTTTAAATTCAGTGCTAATTTAAACTTGATTCCTGATACTGGGACTGAGTAAATACCCTGGAAAAGAAAAAAAAATTCCCATCTTAAGGGACCAAGAGAAATCAGGTGAGATCAATAGATCCAAAAGCATACAGTGATATAAAAAGACTTATTGGTGGGTCTGTTGTCTCTATCCATAGATAAGTGATAGATAGCAGCTGAGGGCCCTCAAATTGTGACTCCTCCAAGTAGAAGGGCATCAGCAATTCATAGTGGCCTGCTGTCATGTCTGATTCTGCATCTCAGGGAAATGCCTGAGCCAGACATAGAGTAGTGTGGAACACTGTGCATGGGTATGTTTATCAAAAAATAGTATTCAGTTTTATTTTGTGAGGTAGCATGCCTTTCTGACTCCTAATGTTGTCTTAATCTTATTATAGAAAGATAGGGAATACCTATACCAAAATCTTTTGATGGTATAGTGTGGAATCCTAAATTCCTTATCTGTAAAACCAGTGGGCAGAAATACATAACACCTAATGGGATTACGAGACACAAAGAAGTGCATGTCCTCAGGTTTGGGTTCAAAAGACAGCCGTAATTTCACCGTGCACTGATCCATAGAGTATGCCATCTTTAAAATCTATACTGTTCTTTCTTTGTTCTCTGCATCCGTAATTTCACCGGGCACTGATCCATAGAGTATGCCAGCTTTAAAGTCTATACTGTTCTTTCTTTGTTCTCTGCATTTTATCCATTCTGCCTTTACTTTGTATGTTTTTTGGGGAGCAGGGTTTGCTCTCTTTTGCATTTTATTATTCTTTGTTTTGTAAAGCACTCTGTATAGTTGTGGCACAGCCTACATAAGCCTAGAAGCAGTTTTGCAACATGTTCTAATCTCCTAACTTTTTATGTCTGGGTTATTACTTCTTCCATGAGTTTTCTGACCCGAAGAAGAGCTCCATGGAGCTCAGAAACTTGTTTCTTCCATCAGCAGAAGTGGGACCAATAGAAGATATTTCCTCACCTGCCTTGTCTCAGTAGGGGACTGTGATGAGGATAATTAGATCTTTGTGCTACCTGCTGAAGGCATCAGCAGCTTGACACTTCTAACCCAGGGAAAATCTATTCTGATTGGGTAACCATAGGTATGGAAGGAGCAGGAGAAAACAAACTTACCAGTCAGGAACTAGTGGACAGTTAAGCAAGCTTGCCCGGTTTTGACTGGGGTGGTGCTGTAGGAGAGTGCCTCAGGGCTTTCCCAGGTAAGGGCCTCACACTATGTGCCTGTGTCTGAAAGGCAAAAGCACAGGCAGCTGAGTCCTGAGTTGCTGTTTTATTGCTTGATCAGAGGCAGAGTTTATGGCACAGGCTATAACCTGCTCCAAACAGGCAGACTAAGGCAGGGCAGACAATGGCTGAAAAATCCCCTGAAGGGGGAACTGCAGAGCAACTCCTGCCTCCCACAACTGCTGCAGTGCCAAGTGCTGCACTGGGAATTAAGTACTCACCAGCTTCTCCCTCTTTTCATAATGTCAATGCAAGTTTCTTTTTTTGTTCCTTTCTTCTGCCTTCAAAATAGTCGGACCTGTTAAATGTCTGGACTCACTTGTGGCTTTGAGACCATTCTTCAAAGAAATCTCATTATGGCTCCATGAAATGGGCAAGTTTCTTTTTTTTCCCACCCACATTGTCTGTTGTGAATAAGTATATCAGCTTGGCATCCAACCCTAACAGCCACCACATA